ACTGGTAGTACAGAGGAGGATATTGTTGAAGAAAACCATACGGAGTTCATAACTGTTCATAATTAAAATCCAGTGAAGCTATCGGATTCAACCTTTTTACAAACCACTGAAATGCATTAAAAAGTATGATCACAACCTTTATGTAGATCCTACCCTCTCCTGTTCGACAGATTGGCCCAGAGATTTTTTTCCTGTACCCCAACCTTGTTTGGAAAACCATGCAATCCTGGCAAGCAAATCTTCAAAACATATAAAATCCTGTGGTACAACCTTATGTTACTAATCCTGCTTTCCTGGCTCCAACATTTGTTTTCCTGAACCCCAACCTTGCGACATCCATTTTTTGATGATTTTTACCTGACTTGGCATTTTTATTCGCCGAAGTGGAGTCACAGGAAAAAAAATTACCGGTACAACGGGGGCTCCTCAACGATGGTTTTCGATGCTTTGGACCGCACCGATCGAGATCAACAATGCCTTCAAGCTTGCGTATGCCAAAGACTTTGCCGATGAGGACGCTCTTTCCGAGGGCTACAGTCCTGGAAGCCTTGCACGGGATAAAGAACTTCCAGATCCTCAAGCCCTTCCAGGCTCTGAAGATCTTCCTGGCTCTGACCAAGTTCGAGAAGCAGGAGGAGAGGAGGAGATTGAGAAGGAGAGAGAGGTTTGGCGAACCACACTCAACTGCTTTCATCGACCTGCGGGACACCCCACTTCAAAGAACCTTGCCAGAATGCTCCAAGACGCTGGAGTTGAGAAGTGGAAAGTCAAAGAAGCTTTGAGCTTCAAGTGTCCCTACTGTGAGGAAGCTCGACTTGGAGGAACTTCTTCAAAACAGATCCCTCCGGCATCTTTACGACCTCTACCACGTGCATGGGGGCAAGTCGGTCTGGACATTGGTGAATGGACAGTACCCAACTTCGACCGTAGGATCAAGTTCATCCTGTTCATTGACATGGCGGCCCGCTACAAGGTCACCGAGTCCCTCTTCGACTATGCCCATGGAGAGGTCAAGACTGCGAACGCCGACATGGTGATTCAAGCCATCACTCTGGGGTGGCGGATGGACAAACCTCATCCACACGTTCTGATCCCAGACAACGCCAAAACTCTGATGTCTCAGAAGGTCGTGGACTTCATGATGGAGATGGGGGTAGAAGTCATTCCACCTCCGGATCAAGAATCTTGGGCTCATGGCATTGTGGAAAGTGCCATCAACTTGATCAAGACGACTGCAACCAAGATCCACTTGTCCATGCCGGATATGGATCCCCGCTTGACTTTGGCTTTGGCAACAAGTGCTTTGAACTCGAGCGGGTTCCACCGAGGTTGCACAAGTCTTCAATGGGCTTTTGGCAAACAAACCGAGTTTGGGGATGAGGAGCTACGTCGTCATTTGTCTTCCGTCAAACTGCCGAAGCCTGTGCCCGAAAGGCCAAAGCCCAAGTGGTTTACTCCAAGCCGAAGAACACTTCAATACGGCAACCAATGAGAACCTTTCATCCAGCCCAACCTGTGATGGTCTGCAGGAAGTATCTTCCTGCGACACAATACAAAGGGAAGAGAGGAGGAAAAATGAAGGTGATGAGGCCACGATGGACTGGTCCTGGACGAGTGGTCATGCACGAGCTGGTGCCTGGCCGCCAAACTGAAGGAGATCGACAACAAGTCATCTGGGTGGTGCTTGGCAGCAAGATGTACCGAGCCAGCGTTCACTCAGTCCTCTTTCAGAACGAGAACATGAAGTCTTTGGAGCAGAGGGAGATGACAGCTCTCGATGGAAGGAGCTCAAGGACATGATCCCCAGTCGGTCTTACATTGATGTGACGCATGAGGAGCCAATGGAAGAAGGTGAAGAACCTGTGCTGCGCAAGCAGCCCAATTCTGAATCCATAGCTCCACCGAAAGTTCGCTCCAATGGCAAATGGCCGATTGATGAACGAGGACTTCCAATTCTACTTGTTCAACCTCCACGACCTGAAGCAAAACAACCTCTAGCTGCTCCGATGGCCGATGTGGTGAACGAGTACAACCCGTCTTCAGCTGCCGCTGGTGCTGCTCCGGAGATCGAGGAGACCTCGACGGATGTGATCCCTATATCATTGCCCTTAAGGAGACAGTCGACATCGTCGTCTACGCCTCTACTTGGAGCTGTTCCACCTCACTCTGGAGAACCCGGCGACGCTGGAGGAGCTCTACCTGTGGAGCCCGAGCCCAAGCGACCGCGCTTGGATGATGATGAGGACGAGAAGGACGGTCTGAACCTTGACCTCAACACGGCCATCCAGGAGATTGACTATGGGTACCTGATGGAGATCGAGCTGGATTTTTCATCAGAGAGACAGAAGAAGAGCTTCAAGAGAATCCCAAGCTTTCCTGGTGAAGAAGATGAGCTCAGCCGAGGTGAACTACAAAAGCTGAGCGAGGCTGACAAAATTCTCTTCAGGAATGCAAAGGCATCTGAGGTGTCTAGCTTTCTGAAGACAGAGGCAGTTCGCCGTTGTCTTTCAGTGGATGAGGAGAACCAAGCCAAGGAGAGCCAGAAAATTTTGAGAGCGCGATGGGTGTTGGTCTGGAAACCAATACCAGAGGAGGATCGTGCAGAAGCTCAAGACAAAGCACTTCAACCAGAATCAGTCTACTCTGCTGATGGAAAACGAAAAGCAAAAGCTCGCAAAGTGGTGATGGGATTCGAGCATCCTGACTTGCTCAATCCTACCTTTAACAGCACTGCTCCAGTACAGTCACAGCACAGCTGATGAGGAATCTTTCGCTGTGCCTGGTAGCTCAAAAGAAATGGGTCTTAGAAGGCCTTGACCTGACAACAGCTTTCTTGCAGACTGGCAGGACTGAGGAGAGCCGTGAGGTTTGGACTTGTGGCGTCCCCGAGCTCAGAGCCGCTTTGAGCCGAAGATCACGAAGTTCTCAGGATCCTCAAGAACATCTATGGCAATGCTACTGCACCTCGCGGACTTTGGGAGGACATCGACAAGACACTGAAGTCTATGGATGGCATTCGCCTACTTGGAGATTCTTCTTTCTGGGTTTGGGTCCGAAAGAACCCCAATCCACGCAATGACGCTGACGCCTTTGAGACAAATGGCTTCATGGGAGGCCATGTGGATGATTTCAACCGTGCTGGCAACGTGGGCTGTCCTGAATGGTTGGAAATCCGAAAGAAGTTTGACCAAGCATACGCTTAGGGAACTGTGAAAAGACAACCCCATCGACACACTGGGATTGACTTAGAAGTCCATGAGAAAGGGTCTGAAAGCTGGGTTCAACTTTGCCAGGACTACTACACCGAGGGTATTCCTGATCTATGTGTTCCACCTGAACGCCTTCGAGGAGATCCCAACAACGAGCTCAACTCCAACGAGATCTCAGCATGCCGAGCTGCTCTGGGTGCTTTGCAATGGGCTGCTACCCAAACTCAGGTACAGATTTGTGCCAGAGTTAACCTCTTACTGACCCCGCTCACCGTGGTCAAAACGATCCAAGTCGCGAAGGAGATTCAAGACTTGATCAAGGAGGTCAGGAGCAACCCGATCACCTTGAAGCTTTGGCACATGCCAGAGACTCAACACTGGCAAGATGCTGTGATTGTCACCTTGGCCGACCAGGCGCACAACAACAAACCTCAAGGAGGATCTACTGGAGGACTGATGACTTTCGTCGCAGGTCCCCAACACTTGGAAGGAAATGCTGGTCGCCTCCACTTGGTGGCATGGAGAACCTGGAAGCTGAAGCGCAAAGCAACCTCAACCAACGTCGGAGAGATTCAATGCATTCTGGAGGGCGAGGACCGCAACTTTCGCACTCGATTCCTCTTGAGTCAACTCAATGGCTGCTGCGCGCTACCTCCTGGCGATCACCTACAGCGGGCCAACAACATGATGCAGTATACCAAGGGCATCATTGCGACTGACAGCAAAGGAGGATATGATGCTGTCACGAAGAGTGAGGGGCCAATGTTAGGTTTGAGCAATGCCGGGAGCGCATTGCAAGCGTACCAACTTCGTGAACAGCTGGCTGAATCTTTCTGTAGATTGATTTGGATCTCTGGCGCTTGGTACTTGTCCGACACACCGACAAAGAAAGCCAGAGTTGCTCGTGAGGGTTTGATCCAGTTTTTCAAGCAGAACGTATGGAAATTGAAGTTTGATCCAACCTTCCTACAGAGCGAAACGAAAGCAAGACAGTTAGGCAAAGCCGCTGTGAAGCAAATGCAAGAACTACAGGCGCTGCTTCCTGTGGATCATGACCCGAGAAAAAATTTGGACTGGTGCAATTGGTAGAACCAGCCATGGGGTCATGGATCCACTTTTCACCTTGAAACCAACCGCCTCTGACGTAGGCCTTGAGCCTGGCTCGAAAACATCCGCTTGCCCACGCTCTTTAGTTGAGCGCTTGTGCTGTTGCCATTTGGTCTGGCTACCTCTTTGTGTATTTGGTGGCGAACTTCGAGCTGTGGCTACCGCAGCACCTCTACATGTTCTTTCCATACTTTGCCCAAGCCAAAAGAATCCATGGTGTCATGGTCTTCGCATTTCACACATTCCCAAATTTTCTTTCACATTTCTTGTCTGCCCTGAGGCTGCCCAGTGTCTACTTTTTGCAAGCACCTGGAACACACGCGAGACCTGGAGGGGACGCCTAACCTGCTCTCCTGACCGAAGAAAACCGCAACTCGCTTCTGCATGCGCGTTCCTCAAATATCAAACACGCCAAATTCCAGAGAGTCGCGCGTCAACCAAGTCACCTCACCTTTCTGACGCAAAAACCTCCAATAGGTGGAACACTTTCATACCAAGAATGTTCCAAAATGGACACTGTTGAAAACACATATATACACCAGCTGCAATTTTGAAATCCAAGCCTTTTCTCTGAACAGCTCAGTGAAGAGTATAAACAAATTCATTCCATGACAAACACTGCCCCGGAGATTGGCCACCGAGGGCTCTTTCTCCATGGATATGTCATGTACCGCATGTCAGTGCCTGCGTGCTGGGCAGTGAATCGTCGCTGGGCCGGTGTTGGATTTGGAATTTCCTGATGGGAAAGGCAAACGTGAATAAAATAGCCCACATTGTCATGGTGCGCTTTGCTTTAGGTCGAAGAAAGACTTGACTTACCATACATCTTGAGCCTTAAGTCAAAATCTCAACAAAAACCACCGCTGTGACTGACTCTCAGTCTCCAGCAATGGGGCACCGCAGTGGGCAAGTTGGGATACGCTTAAGCCAGCTGTCCACACACTCCTGCGAGCAACATGTAGGAACAAGACCGGAAACGCAACACATGTTTTTGCACGTCCGAAAAAGAATCAAAGCAACTGAAATAATCCTTCACAATCAACATCAATTGTGACTCTGTGACGTTAATCAATTCAGAGGTTGTGGGTTCTGGCCTGGTGGAAGCCATGAGTACAATACAAACGCCTCATGCGTTCCCCAGCTGTGAACGGCTCAAGGCAAATGGGACAAGTGGGTTCGTCACGAATGCTTTGCTGCCCCACCTCAGACATCTCAAGAAAGCATCAAAAAATCACCACATCACATTACCACTTGACATGAAGAGAACTTATCAAGACATGCTGCGCTGTAAAATATTAGTACTTGAGGGACAACGGTTCAACGCCAAGAAAACAGTCACATTTCCTGAATCAGATAGATCTGGACTCAAATCAGCTTCCCTCCTTGAAGTTCAAAGGACTTCGCGGATTCTGGAATAGAACAGATGTGTGCTGTTAGAAGTGCGTCGAGTTGCTCCCATGATTTCAATGCTTGAAGAGATGAGTTCTAGCTGCTCATCTGAAAGCCCTGGTGAAGGGATATCTTGCAAACGTGCATGCACCAGCATGGTCCAGCGAATCCGGAGCGCCAAAGGCATTACCAGTCGGCTGCAGAAGGTCATTGTCAGCAAGCAACACAAAAATGATGAAGTAAAGTTGAAGGCTTCGCATGGTGCTGCTTCCTTGGCCATTTCCCAGAAGAACATCTCGGAGTACTGACTGCAAGGCAGTGCTGCCAGGCACCAAAGGATGTTGCAAAAATACCACGGCAGGAGAACAGCAGAAACAGCACCTGAGCAGTTGACACCCGGTCAGCTGTGATCAGTACCTGTGACAGGCCTTATGAGCTACCAATAAGAAGAAACAAGTCTAGCTAGGCCCTAAACTTACCCTAAACGAGGGAGCTAGGCCTAACTTTTCCCTGTTCTCTCAAAGGTTTCACGCAATGAGGCGCTGCGGGCGGCAAATATAAGATGCCTGAAGTAAGCTTACCAGCTCGTGGCCGAGTGGACTCAAGGTAGGTTTGCTCAATTCAGGACCAACTTCAAGAAACATGGCCCAAACAGGGGATCATCTGTGATTAGCATGGGGTTACTCCCTGTTTTATGTTTCTTGAATAGTCCTTCAACGGCCTTTCGTGTCCAAACATAGGAATATGAATCCGAATCACAACACTTGCTTGATCAGGTTTTGTATACCTTGCACCGTGACTTACACCTCTTTGTCTTGAATGCAAGAAGCCAATGGTCTTCCCTTAGCGCCCTCACATGGCCCAAATGCGTTGCAACACAATTGAGGAAGTCTCGCAGAATGGCTTCCTTGTTGATGCTGTCAAGTTCAAAAATTGGGGAAGCGTCGCAGACTTGCTTCCTTTCAGTTCGATACATAGATACATAGAGACATAGATGGATGGATAGATAAAGGGAAAGAGAGAGATAGAGAAAGAGATAGAGAAAGAGATAGAGAAAGAGATCTAGAA